ATCAGTTGTCGTAACACAATCTTTAGCTAGCTTAACTTGGGACTAGATGGCGCTGTGTGAATTGTCCTGAGATTATTATTATTACTATTACCTATTTATTGAATCGGTTTAATATAACTTAATTAAGTGACAAACATAACTGACTTTTTCATATTTTCAGCGCATGTTCACGAACATGACGGCTGACAAATGAGTCAGACAGGCAAAAATTGTAAAAAATGTTATTTTGGTATATGTATCGTGTTTATATTCATATGCATGTAATAAAAATTGGTTATTTGGATTGTTATTTTAATATTACAAACAGACACTCCAATTTTATTTATATGTATAGATCTATAACTTACTATCAGACCCGGCCACGTCATGCTGTGGCTAAGGTTCTTGAATAAAATTATATTGCGACTGTAGGGACTTTTAAATTAAAGGTTTTTGTTATGGACTGTAGATTAGATGTAATAATTTAAATATGAAATACAAAGAATGATAGAATATTGAATGCGCGTGTCGTAATCGGTGGTGAAATTCGATGTGAGGGTGACGGTTGGTCCCCCCTCGAGCCGAACCCGCAGCATTGCTCGCGGACTCCGGTCCGGCGAGCCGACAATGTCCGAACAGCGACTATAAATTAAGATGTAAGCTATCCTACCTTTCAAGTTGGATCAAATTGCACACAATCTGCACATCAAATTTGCAATTTGTTCAGTAGTTTAGGAGTCCATCGTGCACAAACAACGTGACACGTAATTTGTATATGTATGTGTATATAATATTATAAATACGACATTACTAAAGTAATATGTAAAAATTATTTTTATAACAAAAAGCATATTCCTTCTTAAAAAGCTCTGCAATTCCGCTGGTGTTAGGGGTGCTTATGGGTGGCGGTAATCATTTACCATCAGGTGAGCCGGTTTACAAGCGGAACAACCCCCTGTTTGTTTCTAATAAAAAAAAATTATACATTCTAGAAAACTGTGGACAAGGATCAAGGATTGCGTTTGCCACGAGTCGTCAGTTGACCTCCCCATCTGAGAGAATACCCGTGAAGGTATATATTACGTAACATATATATGTATATATTGTGACGGTAACATATATAATTTTACCAAATATAATTTTACCAAATAATAATTGTTACTCGCAAACAATACACAATGGAAATAAAAATGTATGGTTTTTTATGTGGATTTATTGTTGAATCGAGAATTGTCAATTTGCCTTACTTGATTTGACTGCGATTGTATTTATTGAGCTGTTTACGCGAAACTATTTAAAAGTTTTCTAGAAAAAAGGAATCATAAAAAACGTTCTTAATTTATACAGACAACAATATTGGTCCATAATATACATTACAACATGGATATATCAAAGCAATTACTCTTATCATTACATAGTATAAAACAAAGTCGACGTCGCTGTCTGTCCGTCCCTATATATGGTTAAATCTATAAAACTACGCAATGGATTTTGAAGCTTTTTGTTAAAAGATAGAGTGATTCAAGGGGAAGGTTTATATATATAATACATGTACACCCGTGCGAAGCCAGGGAGAGTAGCTAGTTAATATTATAAAATAGAAAGTTTGTGAGTATGGAAGGATGTTTGTTACTCTTTCACGCAAAAATTACTGAATGGATATTGATGAAACTTTACAGTAATATAGCTTATACATCAGAATAACATATAGGCTGTAAAAACGCTGCCGAAACCATGGGCACAACTAGTAAACATATATAAAAAATATATATGTATATATACATATATATGAAAAAACATTTATTCAAAAGAGCAACACACGAGTATCTTGCTCATTCTTCTTGTGATGTATCTGCATTCCGAATGAGTGGTAGAATAAAAATATGACTATTCAAAAGTGCTTGTAATGAGTTTATTTAAATAAACATTATTTCTATTACTATTTCTAAACTAAAAGACTAAGCAGTGCTCTTGCTTACTTTATATATATATTGTATTCTATATTTAGAAGTGTATTATATATTACTAATTATGTATATTTAAATTATACATGTAAATATAATATTAAACATAGATTCTACTTTACGAACGGCAGTAGAGTTATTTTAATTTTCCATAACCTTCAAGCTCGGTTTACTGAACACAGCGACGCAATTACATTTTTCAGTTTTTTTCACTAATATCAACACGTGACAAAACTGAAAAGTGTAATTATAAATTAAAAAATCATTCATTCATGTAGAACGTTTTAGCCGCAGATGAACGTCAAATTTTATAAAAAATTTGACGTTCATATGCGGCTAAAACGAAATTTTTTCCCTGCCGTCCAGTTTAGTATAGATATAGATCCAATTGAGAAGAACTGGCAAGAAACTCAATTGAATTACTAATTTTTTAAAGCCAGTTTATTTACAACGTATATTTATATAGGTGACTATGTCTAACATTAAATGAAAATCCCGTGCATGAACAACTATTGCCATGCACGCTTGTCAAAAATTAATAAACATGAATACTCATTAATAACATAATGTCTAAGACTATGTGTTGTTACTTATAAAAATGTATGCAACCTCATTTTGCTACATTGCTAATCTATAACTTTAAAAAAAAGAACACAAAACATTCTAATTTTAAATATGTCATTCTGAGATGAATTAATGGAGGGAAAATACAAATTCAATTTTTTAAATTTAAAGTACAATTTAAAAACACAAATCCTTTACATTGGTACAAAATATTTGTTTTATTTTCATAAGAACAAAAGGATTAAATAAAATAACAAACACATGAATTAATTTAATACCTTATTGTAATTATGCCTCACAACTATCATCATCATCATCATCATCGCAGCCCGGAAGACGTAGACGTAGTCCTCACAACTATAGTCTATGGTAATTCTGTTTTTTTTTTTTCTTTTTTTATACTACGATGTTTTGCTTCGGTACCCACCACCTTGTCATTAATTTATATTGTCAAGACCAAGTTTGTGTCTATGGACTGTACAATATCTGTTGAAATTAGTTATCGACCTGAAACTCTGGGTAAACAAAAAACCACTTTGCATAATTATGAAAAAAAATAAAAATTATGTTGTTTTCAAAATTGCCCATGTACCGAGAGGCGTAATTAGCACTATGTTTTGACTAGTTCGATTGAAATTAAAACAACTATTTGCATATTTTTTTTTATTCGTGTAAAAACAAACACTTGAAGGAAAATGATGACTTGATGTCATCTTTGTATATACGCTGTTTTTTTTTTATTTGAGCGACCGCAGTTACAATTATTATGCCTTGCAAGAAGTTCAGGTATATAGTGTTGACTTAATTACTGGTTGCCACTACATGCGTCGATGTTTGCAGAAGTTTTTATATATATATCGAAGCTGCTGGAGGCTTAATTAGGAGAATCCTAAGAAGGAATGGTAGGACGAAGGAAGGTAATGAGGCGTGGAGAGAGAGAGTGCCAACTGTCTTGTTTGTATAAGAAATGGTACAGTATATTTTTTTATCTCGCTCCTATAATTTAATATTTTTTTTTTTATTAAATCTCCTATAATTTAACATTTTTTTATTCAATTATAGAAGCCAACAGAATATCAGCTCTGCAGATTTATGCCGAGTTGGTTGCCTCTTCATCATATATGCCAACATTGTATATATCTTAACGACGAGTATATGTAGAAAATAATAAAATATTATATATGTCTCGAATGCTTAAAAAAAATTGCTGAGCATCTAGTTTCTGTGACGTCAGTAGTTTTGTAACATAATATCTTCATTTACAAGGGTAGCGCGCGAGGCATTTCTCAGATGTCCATTCCCTATAGAAATACCTCACTATCCGGCCAATCGTATGCTTGTTTGCCAAAACTGTATAAAAAAAATATTAGGTGACTTAAATTTAAATTTATGTTCAAATGTGTATATATTGTGTTTTACCAACAGGTCGTGAAGGTTACACAACACGTGTTAACTGAAACTAACATAATGTTAGTATTTTTAATGTTAATTTTTATTTATCACTAGCTGTTCCCGCGACTTCGTCCGCGTGGAAGTTAACTTTATTTTTCTAAAATAAAAGTAGACTAAGTTACTCCTTATTACATCAGCTACCTGCAAAAAAAAGTCCCGTCAAAATCGGTCGAGCCATTTCAAAGATTAGCAGAAACAAACAGACCGACAGACAGACGGACGAAAATAGTAAAAAATGTTATTTTGGTGTGTGTACCGTATTTATATTCATATGCATGTAATAAAAAACGGTTATTTCAATATTACCAACAGACACTCCAATTTTATTTATATGTATAGATTATCTTAAACAATCGTAAAAATTACACATACAAAAATAAACATCAATCATAAATCATAAAAATCCCAAGTATTTTTATCTCGAACGTTCTGTTAAGAACTGTGGTGAAACCGCACAAATTGATATTTTTGATTTGCGTTAGCTATTACAGTTTCTGATATAAGGTGCTAGAGATGGACATACATGCTCATGATGTCACCAATCGGCAATCGACGGAAAATAGTAATAATAAAAAAAAAATATTAGAACGGATTTTTCCAACATTATTCATATTTAAATATGAAACCATTTATATTTAATAATAATTTAATAATGCGAATTAAATATATTTTTTTTATTACCTATGGAATATAATTCCTTCCTTCCTTAAATATATATATAGGTCCCTATGAAATTATTTTACTTCGCCAATAGAATCCAGTACTAAGACCTATTGGGAGTATGCTGATACATTGCAAGGGCGGATCCAGATTTCGCGCCAGGAGGGGGTCACATAGTCGTGGTCAAGTCAAGAACTTATAATGTAATTTTGATAACAGTAGATACAAGTAAAAAGTAGGTATTTTATTAATGTACGCAAGTACTGTACTTAAAAATATTTATCCTTTATAACTTACACATAATAACTTGTACATATTGCCATCTTCTCTTGAAGACTTCAGAGAAGCACTATTTAAATATAATTAATTAAATATTGAAGGTATGTAGTTATAATAATATCTAATAATATCTGTATGGTGACAAAATATAGAAATAAAATCATTATGTTCAATTACTGGTCCACCTAAGTCCTGGGCTCAGGGGGGTCATGACCCCGTGACCTCCCTGGATCCGCCGTTAGCCTATTGATGGTTGCAGGTCTACGGACTCCATTGCAGCATCTCTTCTAGTTGCTGTCATCACTGACACTACATGACTTAGAGTCGCTGCTAGTGAGCTGACGGAGCTTGTCAAAAGTGAGGGAGCGGATGTCCTGAGCACTTAGCAGCAGGTTGTAATTTCGTTCTAGAGTTTGCTTTATCTCTGCACTCATGAATGAGTCCATCCCTAGCTCTGCAAGACGAGTCGTAGTCGATGTGCTGCTCAAGTCCTTTATTCCTTTAAAATAAAAATAAAATATTTAAATATAACTTGAATCAAATCAAGATTGGGAAACGATCTGTTGCGTTTGACGAAAGTTAGTTATATGGAAATTGCGTAAGGTTTTACAACAAACTGCCAGTCTGTACTCAATTTGAGAGAAAAAAAAATTAAAAAAGTTATAAAATATTTTCTTTGTATAAAAGCTTATTATAAAATTGAAGAATTTATAAACGATAATAATGTTTTTGTAAATATCTAACTTAAAATTCATAGCGCTGACAATGTTATCTGATTGAACAGAGATTAAGTGCGTTTCTATGTTGATTGTCGCATGCCTAATCCTTGTTAATGTAAATATAATTAAATCAATATTTATTTAAAAGAGCAACACATAAGTTTCTTGATCTTTCTTCTTGTGATGAGTCTGCATTCTGAATGAGCGGTAGAATAAATAAACTTGGCTATTCAAAAGTGCTTATATTAAGTTTATTTGAATAAAGATTATTTCTATTTCTATTTGTGTCTAATTTAAATATGGATATTATATTTTCTGTAACTAGTCACGGTGTCCATTCAAACTGATACTCCTAAAACTCCTACACTGAATTTAACTTTATTTTCTAAAATAGAAGTAGCCTAAGTTACTTCATATTAAATCAGCTACCTGCCAAAAAAAGTACCGCGAAAATCGGTCCAGCCATTTCAGAGATTAGCCGGAATAAACAGACAGACAGTCAAAAATGTTATTCTGGTGTATGTACCGTATTTATATTTATATGCATGTTAAAAAATGGTTATTACAATATTACGAACAGACACTCAATTTTATTGACGACCTCGGTGGTCTAGCTGTCTAGCACACCGACCGTCTCACCGTCTTACGTCCGATGGTCGCGGGTTCGATTCCTCGCACGGCACAAACATGTATTCATGAGTATGATTGTTTGTATCGGTCTGGGTGTTTTCTATGAATAATATGTATATATTTACGAAACAAAAATCTATGTATTTGTATCAGTTATCTAGTACCCATAACACAAGCTGTAGCTAGCTCAACTTGGGTATAGATGGCGCTGTGTGAATTGTCCTGAGATTATTATTATTTTTTATATTTCCAAAAGAAATCTCATCTCCCCTCTTAAGGAGAGGAGATGGCAACTTACCCCGGCAGAAGCACAGTCGGCCGGGGTTCAGGGCCCCAGGGAGAGAAACCGGCGTACAATGCGGGCAGAATCTATATCTATTATATTATATGTATTTATATGTTCACATGTTACAGTACTGCGTAAAATGTGAGTACCTAATATATTGGCGACGTAGCTAATCACATCTTCCTTGGGCGCCACGTGCTTCCGGCTCTTGTCGGCCAGCACTATGGACCCGACCACCGGGTGTGGTAGACTCATCAGAGTGTTGAGGGCGCTTATACAGGACGCGATCCGCTGCGGGGCAGTCCCGGTCACCACCGCGTCGTTGCCGCTCATGGTCTCCATCACCATGCCCACATCACCTGCCAATTTATGGAGAGTACATATTACTGGTATTGTGGACTATATACGAGAGGACTGGTTGACTATTTCCAAAAAACAGCGATATTCATAATATTAATACTAGATTTAAAGACAAACTTGCTGTCCCCAAGTATCGTTTAGAAAAAGTTAATAGGTCTTTTATGGGAATAGGTATAAAAATTTACAATAAGATACCAAAGGATATGTTGGAATTACCCTTAAATAAATTCAAAACATCTGTTAAATCATGTTTACTGAGCAAAGCCTATTACTCACTAAACGATTATTTGAATGACGAGTGTGCATGGCAATAGTTGTTCATGCACTGAATTTTCATTTAATGTCAGACATAGACACCTATATAATTATACATTGTAAATAAACTGGCTTTAAAAATAAAAAGTAATTCAATTGAGTTTCTTGCCAGTTCTTCTCAATTGGATCTATATACCGAACTGGACGGTAGGGAAAAATAAAATTATAATGTAAAAATTTGACGTTCATAAGCGGCTAAAATGTCCTACATGAATAAATGATTTTTGAATTTTGAATTTTATATGCAAAAACAAATATTGGAAAAAGATGTTGATAAAAAACCTCAGTTGTTAGGTCAGTATTTACTGATACTGCCATTTTTCATACAATATCTAAATCACATTTGTTATCTAATATATTAAATTCTCGTGTCAGGTTTCGTGTTTATACTCCTTCAAAACGACTTGACCGATTTTGATGAAGTTTTGCGTAGCTATTTCTATATTGATTATCGCATGCCTCTTACTTGTTATACTGTAATTATTTATATAAAAAAACATCTATTAAAAAGAGCAACACACAAGTTTCTTGCTCATTCTTCTTGTGATGAATTTGTTTTCCGAATGAGTGGTAGAATCAAAATATGACTATTCAAAAGTGCTTGTAATGAGTTTATTTGAATAAAGATTATTTCTATTCCTATTTTATATGTAGATATGTAGTAGGTCTATCGGTTTATAACAATAAAATTTGTTATAAACCGATAGACCTACTTAAGTATTAAGGGAGGCTCACCCCAAAATTTTTTTTCATTTTATCACGTTATTTTTATTGTGTGATATTAAAAAATACAAACAACCTTACATTTCCACCCTTCTAGCCTCAACCACTATTTTTTAAAGCCATTTTAATTTATATGGCAAAAAGTAACATTTCAAAATTAAAAAATTACAATTTCTTTATTAAACAAATTATTACACATGTTGATAAAGTTCAAAATAACATCATACCGATGGCGCCCCACTGCACGGCGAGACCCGGCAGACCGTCGGCCTGCCGCCGCTCGCAGATGCGTTCCATGACCGAGTTGGCGAAACCGTAGTTGCTCTGGCCGGGATTGCCCCTCCCGCATGATCCCGACGAGAACACCACGAAGTGGTCCAGCTGCGGGGCCAGCTCTCGTGTCGCCGCGTCCAGCGCCCGCGTGCCTACACACGTGTACTGTTACGGATGGGTCTAAAGATAGTTTTTTAAAAAAACAATTATTTATATTTCAAGAGGAAAAGTGGTCATCTTAACAGACTGCCTGGAAAGAGACAGTTTGTTGCTTTTCCTTGTGTGTTAGCCGAAAACCGCGACTAATACGACAGGAATGTATCAAAAGGGTATTGTCTTATTAATACTCTATTCTAATCTAACTTTTGTTATGAGGTATATAACTTTCCCATTGACATGGATAATGTAATAAACACTAAAGAAACTTATTCTAAACTTAGTAATGACATATTGTATTTTAAATAAAGTAAATTAAATATTGTAATGGGTGAAAACTGTGATTGGTACAGTTTATGCTGTAAATAATATAAATGACGTAGTGGAGTAACTTGAAACAGTCATGCTCGCTATAAAGTTCAAACTTGTGGCGGCGTGGTGGGCCGGATCGATGTGCTCCCTCTAATATGGTTGAGTGCAATGATGGCTGGCTCATCCGTCATGCTCGTGAACGGGTGCTGCTTGTGGGGACTGGTCTATTCAGGTTGCGATCACTGATTAGATTTTTTTATTATTTTTTTTCAAAAGCATATGTTGGGGTTCTTGTCAGTTCTTCTCATCTCGAAATCACTCCGAACTGACGGTAGATTTGACATATCATAAGAGTCTGTAATAGACCTACATGAATAAAGATATTTTGAATTTGAATTTGAATACAATACATTGATAAGCTAACACGACTATTTCGGAACCTTTGTAAGTACTGTGATTGTGAAACTGTAACAGTACCACAGTCAAATTGCTTCCATTCGATTAAATACATACCATGTGGTGAGAAATTGCAGAAAAATATAGGAAATAAGGTTTCACCACCAGACGTTAGGGGACGGTCGGTGGTTCAGAAATATGATGTTAATTAACTGACTGATTAATAACATGCAAGTCTTGCTACCTACAATATATTGGGCTCGTACTCTTGGAGACCACCTCTGTTGGCGACCGGCCGCGCAACCTCTTTTGATATTTTTATTATTTTTAAATCTACATTTTTAGAACAGATCTTTTGATACGTCATGTTTTTTGATACATTTCAATTATTCTATTATTGTCCTTTTGATAGTTCGCAACTACACATATTATTATAGACTACGTGTTTTCATCATTTAAATACTTATACAGTCCATCCATCCATTTACATTTTGGTCCTTTCGTCGGCGTAATACTGAAATTTCATAAACCTCTCTGGATGTCGCACAGTTCACAAATTTTTATTTTATTTCATTTAATTCAGGCTACATGGACCATAGTTAATTTTAAACTTTCGTGTTTAATATACAATATTTAAATTATTAACCGGGTCTTAACATGAATAATTTTATGGTCAAAAGTGTACGGATACTGTGAGTGCTGTATGTCGCGAACTTTCGTTAAACAATCTAGTGACGGTAGATGAAGAAAAAACTGCTGTCACCTATCTACATTGACATCGCTGTTACTCCAGTCAGCTCGTGCAGCCACGGCTAGTGCAACCTAGTCGAAACGTCGAGACAGGTAAATACCTTTATTTGCCATATAATTATTCGTGTTAAGACCCGGTTAATAATTTAAATAATGTACATGGACCATTTTATAAATACCTAAACATATATAAGAAATAATAATTCACGGCAATCTGCCACGGTACCGCCGATACACAACCTCTTCGGCCAGCAGTCTTCCGTCATGAAGGTGAGCAGCATGTTTGTTAGGTTGTCAGGTTGTCAGGTTATATAGGATAAAGACCAAATATTTTGTCCAAATTCAAGATCAACGTATTAGCAGCGTTCACAGCGATTGATTGTACAAATCTGGCAGTTTTTTCTTTTTTTAAGTGACTAGATACACTAAAAGCTGCGCTCGCGCTGGCACGAAAGAAACGACACTTTCAGGTGTTCTTTTCGACACTCAGCCATATTATTACAAATATAAAAACCTTGACTGCACATATAATAGACCATATAAAGAGACATATAAAATTATTAACAAAGAAATGTTATACCTAACCATGTATACAATGCAGCGACGATCAACTCACCGTCCACCTTAGGTTTTGCGACTATCTTAAAATCTTCTGGTGTGAGGTTTTCGATTAAAGCGTCACGCAGTACTGCAGCTAAGTTGAATACCCCGCCAACGGGCCCCAGCGCGGACGCTTCCCGCAAAAGATCATTAGCGCCATCGACGGTGGTCGCATCCATCTGTGACACCGCTACTGTAACACCAGCTTCCCGCCACCTGCACATCGACAGTCGACTTACATCTCTGCACGCCTGTTTAGTCCACATAACTGAGTCGACTATTAGTTACCTGCGGATGCACATGCACTGATAGCCAGTACGAACGCCGCTGCGTGAATTCAAGACAATCCGGGTGGCGCCACGGACTATTAACCATTGCGCCAGCTCCAGACCGAAGCCCCCAAGACCGCCTGAGGAAAATGTATGGCTTGAAAAGTGTAATTTTTAATTTAGAGTCAAATAGAAAATCCTTTATTCATATAATCTACTGCTCATTCGGAAAGCTGTCTCATCACAAGAAGAATAAGCAAGAAACTTGTGTGTTGCTCTTTTAAATAATCCTTGTAAGTTCACATTTTTTAAATCAAAACGTGTGAATACAAACTACCAACTAGCACTAATTTATTAGGGTCAAATATGTATACACAATAAGATTAAATCAGTCATTAGTAAACATAATTGTCGTGATACACGGATATCTTGCGCCACTCACCCACTAAGACGTAGCTCTTGATAGGATGAAGGTAGATACGCGGAATAGCGGATACAAGCTTGGCAGCGGGCGTAATCGACGTGCCCTCCTCCTCGCGCACACGTATCAGTACTTTACCAATGTGCTTGCCAGTTACCATGTATCTGGAAATATTTGCAAAGATTACAGAGAATCATGGCAAAAGTTTGAGCTGGCTTTGGGCTTTGAGCACAGCGACCGATTCAAGAAATTCCGTAACGAAAATAAACCTAACGCCCCCATTCCGACCGTCACAGCGGTGTCTTTAGGCGTTGAAAGCCGTACATCGTGTAACGTCGTTTCAGTTCGGCAGACTTCGGCACGGTTATTCTGTGCCTGCGACTACCATACTGTACGAAGCTCGCATGGATCGAGACGAGCTGCTCCGAAATCGGACGAATGCGTAAGCAGCTGTTTGTGAGAAAGTATATTATTTTATTACTGTGTAATAAATTGTTTTATTATCGGTCACCACGCTCAAAAAGTGTAACTTGAATTAATATCAAAGAAAAAAAAATACTGCATAAATAAAATAAATTTATAATTTTAATTGCACAAGTTGATAAAAAATGCTATGCAATAGCTACCGCGGCAGTCCCCGAGTGCTATTTTTTTTTTTATTGTGTCTAAAGTACCGGAAGGCCTGCTCGAGCTGGTGGTCGTGGTAGACGGTGGCGGGCAGCGGGCGGACGGCGCCGCTGGCGATGCCCTCCGTCATGCAGCGCACCACCGCCGCCTTCTCCGCGTCCTCGGCCGACGCCTCGAACAGCGCGTCCAGCAGGATGCCGTGGAATGTTGTGTTCTTCAGGAAGATCTTCATGCCCTGTTTAATATGCCATAAGTATTCTCTGAAATCTTTACTGGAGATTCGGCAAATAAGGTCCCATACCCTATATTGATCAGATTGACCGTATGCTATTTGATGGGGCAGTCAGGAGTATTCGCACGTAAATACCTAAGGCATTGTAGTGACTTGTATGGGTAGAAGTGAAACCACAAATTTAGTCGTATTTGTGGATAATTTTATTCGGAATAATTTACAACTTATGTGCGTAAAATTATGTCATTAGTAGTTATACTATCGAAACAGGTGGTTCAATACAGTGAGTGAGACGGCAATACGAGTGCGCTCCTGTTCGCACCGAGTTTATAAATATAAGCGAGGCGATCGCGTTGTGCCGGCAGTTGTCGTATAGCTGTTTTACGCGAATGTCGTGTGCTGCTACAGCATATTAATGCTAGTGAAACAAGAATTAATAGCATTAATAAATCTGGACAATACACACAGCCTCATTTAGTCCCAAACTCAGAAGGGATTGTGATATGGTTACTAGACAAATTATATATTACATAAGTCCTAATTTAATTTTGTAAATACTTACATACATAAAAACACCTAGACTAATACAAACAATCAACTTGAATACAAATGTTTGCACCGTGCGAGGAATCGAACTAGCGTTCATCGGAAGTAAAGCTCTTTGCCAAACCATAAACTAGCAATTGAACCCGTCAAATAGTATAAGTAATATTATGAGTTTATTGTTAACAGACGCTCCTACAAATGTTAGAAATTTATGTATTCTTTCTTTCCACCCCTTAAGGAATTTAACGTGAAGATATAGATAAATAGATTGTTAGAAAGATCGTAGGTAGTAAACAAAATAATATTTTGAACTTATATGGAATTATACATATAATAAAAAGTTTATTAATATTAGACAGTATGTACATTGGAAAGAACATTCTCGAAACAAAGAAACGTGAAACATTACTTCTCGTAACACTAAATATTAGAAACACTAAATACAAGGAAATGGTAACAGTATATGTACTAACCAGAGAGGCATTGTTGCAAAGATCCACCTTGCCGATCTCAAGGAAGCGGCCGCCCTCGGCCAGACAGCGCACGGAAGCTAGCAGCATATCAGCAGCGAGCGAGTTGAGTACGAGATCGACGCCACGGCCGTTCGTGCGTTGCAGCACCAGCTGCTCGAAGGAGGTGTCGCGCGAGCTGCCGACGTGGTCGTCCCGCAGCTGCGGGAAGCGCTCGCGCAGGAAGGCGCGCTTGTCGGGCGTGCCCACCGTCGCGAACACGGTGCAGCCGGCGTGCAGCGCGATCGCGATGGCGGCCTGCCCCACGCCGCCGGTGCCCGCGTGCACCAGCACCGCCTCCCCGCGCCGCATGCGCCCGCGCACCGCCAGCGCGTAGTACGCCGTCGCGTACGCCACCGGCACCGTCGCCGCCTGCTCGAGCGACCACGCCGCGGGCACCTCCCACAGGAACCCCGAGTCGGCCACCACGCTGGTCGCCAGCCCGCGCGCCGCCACCATGCCCATCACGCGCGCGCCCCGCGACGACCGCCCGCTGAACTCCAGCCCCAGGATACACTCCTGTGCCGAAATTTCTATCAGTGTTCAATAATCAACGTTGGAACTGTTACTTTAAAGTTTATTACATACCTGACCGATAAGGTTTCCCGGTAGCGCATCAGGAGGCAGCTTGCCGGTAGCTAACATGACATCGCGAAAGTTTATTGGTGCATAGTAAACTTGGCAGAGGTCTGTGTGCGGTGAACTCTGCCTCTCGCCCGCAAAGCGCAGCGGACTCTCGATCCACCGCAGTGACGAAAGGTCGCCACGAGTCAGGATATTTACATACGCGTGTTCGACCTAAACAATTAACTATCGTTATAACATGGCACAGCTCCTTAATGTTTAATTAAAATATTTTATTTAAGCACCTGACTTCGCATCTCATCAACGTTATCCAAAGGTAAGTGCCTGTAGGAGCCCCAGACGCCGGCGCGCAGCACGTTGACGGCCAGGTCCTTGCGCAGCTGGTCCGCGAAGTGGGGCGCGGCGGGCTGGAAGGGCTCGCGGCAGTCGGGCAGATAGAAGACGCGCAGCGCGCGGCCGCCCGGCTCGGCGCGCAGGCACGTGCCCAGCCCCAGCACGCCGCCGCCGGCCGCGCGCGACACCGCGTACACGCGCAGCTCCGCGGCCGCGCTCTCGGCGCGCTTCAGCGCCGCGCGCAGCGGCTCCACCCAGCCGTACGAGCGCTCGTCCTCCACCTCCACCACCACGTGCTCGGCCGGCGGCGGGACGCGCCGCCGCAGCACCAGGTACTCGCAGTCGGCGGTCGCCTGCCGCGACACCACCTCGAGGCCGGCCCGCTCCGCCGCCGCCGCCCCCAGCGCGCCGTGCGCCTCCTCCACCAGCACCATGCCGCCGTCGGCCAGCGCCTCCGCCAGCCGGCCCAGCACCTCCGCACTGTCAGGCGACGACGCCACGCCGCCCGCCACCACCAGATGGCACTCGCTGTCCGGGGCGGTCTCGCTCGCGTCCTTCGAAGTCACCTACATTTATATATAAAAATTATAATGTTTACAGCTTAGGATAATTAAAAATATTACTGAAAGTATGACATACCTTTATATCAAAATGTTGAAGCGCCTCTGAGTAGAATGTAACGGCTGCACCAGCAGCCAAACTAAACTCCACACGTACTTCCGGTTCGACGTCGAATATTTTCAAAATATGCGGTGTTAACAGTGCTTCTACGGGTCGGTCAAGTGCCGCTTCCGTAATTTTCATACGTAAACTACCTGCGTTCTCGAGCACAAAATGTGTACTAACAATGAGAGCGTCTTGTTTCGAGCATTGTGAGTCGTTATTGTACGGTACGAATATATATTTTTCCAATTTTGGCGGTGACTGCATATTACGACGGGGGGCGAGACTTAAATTTATACCATGAAGTTCTAGACCCCCACAAATCACAATATTAATGTTTTTCTCTCGACGGACTGGCAACTTGTCAACACCATTACTAGCTGCTAAATGTGCTACTGGATCGATAAATACACGTTTTATTAGAGTCGGCACCAGTAACTCGCGGATCGGTTTTCCAATAATGAAAAATTGTAACATTGTGTCCATCAAACTGACCCAATTGCCATTCCATTCGAGTTCTCCTGCCATTCCTCTAGGGTTTGAACAACGTATCCCTTTAAATACACCACTGTAATTGTATCCTCGGATTCTCAATTCTTTGTAAATGTCATCACTTGTGAGTGATAATAATTCCGGTTCTTCAGAAACGGGAAGCGGTTCTATTTTGACTCGTTCCGCGCTTGTGTTATCTACAAGTCGCACTTTACCAGTGATGACAACGCTTGTACCCTCGCACACATTGAACTCGCCGGTTCCGCTCAGTATCGTTATTAAAAATCGTACAGGAGTATCTTGTAACAAGATTGTTGCTTGTTCAAATCGTAAATCTTCAAAGACTACCGATATTTCTTCAAAGTTTTTTTTATGAAGTTTAGCCAGAGCTCGCCACACAAGAACCTGAAAATAATGTAATACTCGAATTTCAATGATAAGTATTCGGCAACTACAGAACGTTCATTGAATGAAATGAGAAACGATGTAAAGAGAGTCTTGATAGTACCTACAATGTATCCGGTGGCTGGGTAAAGTATGTTGTCATCAATCTGATGACCTGCGATGTAGGCGTCCTCCGAGTTCGAAAGTTTCACCTCCACGATGTTCTCCCCCGAGTATGATTCGGTGTCATAGTGTGCCACGCTCCACTCGACGGAGTGGTCCCAGCGGACACGCGAGGCCAGCCCCGGCGTGCCGCGCGACACGGGCCACGCCACCGCGGGGTACAGCCGCCCCGCCGCCGGCTGCGCGCCCGCCGCGTACACCCTGCGGCACGAGCGGGCGCGTGTAGCACGCGCAGCACGCGTAGCACGCCACGTGCCGCACGCACGTCACGCGCTACACTCACCTGCCGAGGGCGGCCAGCAGGTGCGCGCAGGGCTCGGGGTGGTCGCGGCGCACGAGCGGCACGTGCGCGGCGGCCGCGGGCAGCGCGCGCTTCAGCACCGCCTGCAGCAGCGCGTGCGGCGCCACCTCCACCACCAGCGCGCGCGCCGGCACCGCCGCCAGCGCCTCCGCGAACAGCACCGGCGACAGCAGGTTGTTCACGTGGTACTCCGCGTCGCTCAGCTTCGCTGCCGACACCATCCAACGACGGTCATTATATATTGCTTTCTTTTTGTAGTGTAACCTAAGTCATATAGTTTTATAACAAAAGTGCAATCTATGTTCGACAGTTGCAATTTATAAACAAAAGTGCATAATGAGAAATTTTATTCTATCTTGAATGAAATTAAACTCCTCGTAATTAAAACTCTCACTGACAGAAGTACTGCAACTCAGGCACTGAACAAAACCTTAAAACAATTTAGTTGAGTAAATTATACGTGCCGATATCAGAATTCCACTGGTCCTTGGGCAGCGAGGAGGAGACCCAGCGCGCAGTACGCGGCTTGGGGTCTGGTATGACGGTGCGCAGCCGCTCGCGCAGCAGCGGCGCGGCCGCCGCGATGTACTTGCTGTGGAACGCCACGCCGCTGCTGTTGACGCGGCGCGCGAACGTGCCCGCTGCAGACAACTCGGCTACGAACTTCTCTATCGACGGAACCGGACCCGATACCTGATAACAAATTCACCTTCAGAGAAAATATCATCATCAGTAAAAAATGATAATATTGATCAATTTGCCAAACTAAACAAAGTTTTATTATTGATACTTGTCGGATACCGCATATTACAGCTAATGATTACTATGATAGTACGTCAACAATGACCGGGGCGGGTACGTACGGTGACACTGTCCGCGGCGTTGTGGCAGGCCGGCACGACGTCGGGCGGACAGCGCTCGACGCACTGCTGCCACGTGAGGCCGACGGCGGCCATCGCGCCCGGCGGCAGAACAGCGTCTACGATGCTGCGTCCGCGCCAGTACGCAGCCAGAACCGTCTGCTCCGCCGTCAGCGTCTCATCTGCGTACGCACACCCTGTCCCCAACGGTGTAACATAGTCGTTAAAACGACCTAGTCAAATCACGATAAATCGAATTAGTAAACAGTGGACTGACCTAGTTCGCCTACAGAGTGACCGACGATGCCATCAGGTCGGATGTCGACGGCGCGCAGTACGTCAACCAGCGCCACTTGTACCGCCGCGATGGACACGAAGGAGTTGATGACGTCTTCAAAGGCGGCGTCGGGCGCGTCGATTAGCACGTGCAGCAGGTCGATGTTGTGAGGACGGAGGGCTGCGGCCACTCGCTCGATCGTAGCCGCGAACGTCGGCAGTCGCATCAGCGAGCGTGCCATGCCCGCCCACTGCGAGCCCATGCCCGAGAACACGAACCAGATAGGTCGCGGCTCACTGTTGTCAAATTCCTGTAAGCAAACGTTATATTTTATAAAATTTTTAGTAACACAGAATAACATTCATGTGGAGGAGATTAAAAACATACGAGGATCTCCTGCAGCGGTGGGTCGGTGAGCACGGCGTAGCCGCGGTGCGCGTGGCCGGGCACGGCGCGTGCGTGCACGGCGTCGAGCAGCGCGTGCAGGTCGGCGTTGGAGGCGTGCTCGGCGGCGTGCTCGAGCAGCGCGCGCACGGCGGGCTCGGTGCGGCCCGACGCGACCACCAGCCGCGGCAGCGCGTACGGCGCGCGTGCACTCTCACGCTTGCCGTGCGCGCGCTCCGACTCCAGGATCACGTGCGCGTTCGCGCCGCCGAACCCGAACGAGTTCACCGCCACCAGACCGCCCTCCCAAGTCGTGTTTCGGTTCACCACCTGCCGTCCGTATGTTCACGTGTTGTTTCATTACAGAAATGTTCAAATTACATAACACAACTTCAGATTTTGAGACTTTGAGCTATATTAATGATGTAGATAATTTACAAGATACCATTAGAAAATTAATAGCGCAATTTTACTTTTAATCTACCGTCGCTGAGTGCTGGTATATCAGGATTGGGAGATTTGAAGTGTAGATTGCCAGGGATGACGCCCTTTTCCATTGCGATCAGTACTTTCGTGATCGAGCACAAGCCTGACGCGGGCTCCGAGTGTCCCATGTTAGACTTCACCGACCCCAGCAACAATGGAGTCTTTCTATCTTTGCAAAACAATTCAGCGATCGCATTCACTTCCTGCGGATCGCCCACCTGAAAGCAATACAGTTATACTTATCGTATTTTAGAACTGTGAGATTTATGGTAGTTTCTTCTTAGTCCTTTCGCTATTACGAAAAGTCAATTAGAAATCATAAATTATAGCTACACACCTGAGTACCGGTGCCATGCGCCTCTACATATGCAACATCTTGCGGCCTGAGTCCCGCCTTTTGGAATGTTTCGGCGGCTAGTTGTCGTTGCATATCTCCTGTGGGGTAGGTGATGCCCTGCTCTTTGTAACCGTCGGCGTTCGTGGCCGCACCGCGTACCGTGGCGTACACGCGCCGCGCACTACTTCGCTTCTGCAGTAGTACAGCTACGATGGCCTCCGCCCTCACATACCCGCTTCTCCCTGCATCGAAGGAGGCACAGCGCCCCTCCGGTGATAGTATATTCATTCGTAGAAAGTGGAGGGACATGGCAGGTTTTAGACAAAGATTGGCACCGGCTACGATTGCAGTATCGCAAAGTCCGGTTTTGATGGCGGCCACGGCCTGGGCGAGTGCGACCATAGAGCTCGAGCAAGCGGTGTCGACAGATATCGATGGACCTTTGAAGTCAAACGTGTATGATATGCGATTGGAAAACATTGCACGATTACAGCCGGTGGCTACATAGCTGTTGAGCTTCTCGAGATCCCGTGTCCATATTTCGATGCTTTCGGATTCAGCGCTGCCGACGTAGACGCCGGTGCGGGTGCCACGCAGCTCGTCAGGGTTGATGCCGGCGTCTATAATAGCCTCGTACGTGACCTCAAGCAGCATACGCAGTTGCGGGTCCATAATATTTGCCTGTTTGGCGTGCACCCCAAAAAATGCAGCGTCAAAATTGGCTAAGTTTTTTAATTTACCATTGCGTTTTGGTAAACCATATAGACCTGTGGGAACGAAGGATTATTTGTTGTTATAAGTTTATTTACAAAAATTATTACCATGAAGAACAAATTATAAAGATATTCAAGTACAGATAAACATACATAAAGTCTTCTATAGAGTTGGGCATAATATGACGAAATATATTTTGATTCTACCTTTAAATAAATTCAAAAATTTAATTACCAAATGTTCAAAATTGTTATTAAAAAATTTATGGGCAGACACTTCAATTTTATTTTCAATTTGATATTTCAATTTTATGGACAGTCTTTGTTCGTTGCTACTATTGAAAAAGATTTTATTTTCCATTCACCCGCTGCTCTTCAGTTTACCTGTGATCACGGCGGTTGAAATACTGCCAAAATATGGGGAAGTCAATAAGAATAAAAATTCAAATTCATAAATCATTTATTCATGTAGGATATTTTAGCCGCTTATGAACGTCAGTTCTGTATATAGATCCTTTTGAGAAGAACTGGCCAGTCTATTTACAATATATATTTATATAGATGTTTATGTTTAACATTAAATGAAAATACAGAGCATGAAAAACTATTGCCATGCACGCTCGTTATTCAAGTAATCGTTTAGTGAGTAATAGGTTTTGCTCAGTAAATATGATTTAACAGTTGTTTTGAATTTATTTAAGGGTAATTCCAGTATATCCTTTGGTACCTTATTGTATTTTTTATATCTATTCCCATAAAAGACATATTTTGACTTTTTCTAAACGATACTTGGGGGTAGTAAGTTTGTCTTTAAATCTAGTGTTCATATTATGAAAACGTGGTAACATCCCCTGAGTTTTACTAATTATACGTATAAAGTTGTAATTATACAACATCACCTGGTGTCCAGCGTCGGTCGTCGTCGGTGACGAGGTCCACCCCGTCGAACAGTTGCTGCGCGAACTCCTCGATGGTGTCGGACTCCGGCAGCCGCCCTGACAGACCAGTCAACACCACATCCTCCGCATCCGTAGCGCCTCCTGACAACCCGTTCACCACTACGCTGGGCATCTTGTAACAGCTGCTATTCCACTTCTGTAATTGGTTGGTCTATAAATTGAACATTGAAAATGGCAAACCTACAAAATTTTTAGAATTTACTTTAGACGACAACTGTAACTGGATCACTAATATATATACAAAAATAAATAAATTTGTAAACGGTCTAAAAAAAATAAGCAGTACTGTAAGTGAAGAGACGGCTCTGACTGCTTACCATGGCTACGCGGGGTCAACACTTAGATATGGGATCTTATTATGGGGAAACTCGACATTGATAAACAAAGTCTTATTAACACAAAAAAATGCATACGCGCTATATGTAGAGTAGGACCATTGCACTCATGTAGACCGTTATTTAAAAAAATGGGTGTGCTAACTGTTACTGCCATGTATATTTATGAAACAGGTATATTTGTAAAAAACATCCATATTTATATTGTTTTTTATAACACAGGGGACAAACGAGCATGCGGCTCACCTGATGGTAAGTGATTACCGCCGCCCATGAGCACCCGCAAGATCAGGGGAATTGCAAGTACGTTGTCGGCCTTTTAAAAAGAAATAAGCTCTTTTTTTTAAGGTTTCAATATCGTATCGGTTCGGAAATACCATTTGCTGGAAGGTGATTCCACAATGTGGTTGTGCGAGGCAAAAAGTTTCTAGAAAACCGCACTGTGGAAGACAGTTTCTGGCGGGTGGTACGTTGGTGAAACTCAGCAGCTGGTATTAATCCGAACAATTCCTCAGAACACTCTCCGTGATATATGCGGTAGAAAATGCACAGAGATGCAATATCAAGCCGCAAAGCCAATGGGTCGAGTCTGTCACATAGACGTTGATTACCAATGATTCTGGCTGCTCGGTTCTGAATGCGGTCAAATGGAAGTAGCTGGTATTGTGGTGCTCCCGCCCAGAGATGAGAACAGTATTCCATGTGCGGCCGGATCTGCGCCTTGTATAATTGCAAGTGATGGGCCGCCGTGAAATGCCGTCCCACTCTACTGAGCACACCAAGCTTTTTTGAGGCTATTTTAGCCTTGTCCTCCAAATGACCGCAAAACTGAACGTCACTGGATATATCAACGCCAAGGACCTCGAGATTTGGCTTCACATCAAGGAGAGTGTCTTGAAACTGAGGAGATACGATAAATGGAATCTTTTTAGCGGTAATGATGTGACGAATATGACAGAATAAACGTAAGGTAAAAAGGCCATCATGTAGAACTAACTTATAAATGTGAAAGTAGCTATATTTGTTATATTTTCACGTAAAAACTACTGAACCGATCATCATGAAATTTTGTGCACATGTTCTTGGATGTATTAGAATGAACATAGGATATATACTTTTTTTATATAAAAACACAAAAATAAATAAACATTTTGCTACTTCAACACCATCTGGCAGCCAGTAATGAAGTTATTTAATGGACTCAATGCGAGCGAAGCCGCGGGTAAAAGCTAGTACGCTATAATTTCATAGTTATAAAAAAAAAGTTTCATTTTCGAATTTCTAAAATCCGAAATTTCCCGCCTAAATGATTTGATCACGGTATTTTGACTACATTTTCTAAAATGGGATCACACACACATCAACGCATACCATACAATTAAAAATTGAAAACGCGCCTTCCTACATTAGCTACCACGAATACAGAATATAGAGATTTTTAATCTGTAAAATTTTAATTAATAAAAGTTTCATTTAATTATTATTCTATAACAATAAAAATAATCTAAAATCAAAACCCTGGCTTTTATTTATAAATGTATTTGGCGATTACAAATTTATGCACAGAATAAAAACCTCTGGTATCACACTGCATTTGCTGTTTTTTTTTCAAGTAACAAAAGTATATTTCAAGCAACAACACAATTCGCGAATTTATTTCGCTAATTTCGCGAACGAAAAGCTTATAAAACAAAGTCGCTGTCGCTGTCTGTTCGTTCCTATGTATGCTTAAACCTTTAAAACTACGCAACGGATTTTGAAGTGGCTTTTTTAATTGATAGAGTGATTCAAGAGGAAGGTTTATATGTATGATACATGTACACCCGTGCGACGCCGGGGCGAGTAGCTAGCATATAATAAACAACATAAATATATACTGAAGCAAATAATTAATATTACAAAGATAAATATGCAACGATGAAACTAATCACATAGCATATATTTTGTGTAATATATATATACTAGCTGTCCCGGCAAACGTTGTTTTGCCATATAAATTAATAACGCTATAAAAAAATAGGGGTTGGTGATAGAAGGCTGAAAATTTAGGGTTGTAAGTATTTTTTAATGACACTTAATAAAACATTTTGCTCAAAAAATAAATAAATAATGTTAGGGGTGGACAACCCTTATCACTTAGAGGTTGAAAAATAGATAGTAGCCGATTCTCAGACCTACTGAATATGCATCTAAAATTTTATAAAAATAGGTTAAGTCGTTTCAGAGGAGTATGATAACTAATATTGTGACACGAGAATTCTATATATATTATATATATTTTGTTCATGTCCTTTATATGTTGGTGCAATAAAGTGTTATAATTGATTAATTAATTATATAAGATGTTGCAGCTGTCCCGGCAAACGTTGTTCTGCCTTAAAATAAAAATAAAGATTTAGAGATGGACTACCCCTAACATTTAGGGGGATGAAAAATAGATGTTGGCCGATTCTCAGACCTACTCAATACGCTCACAAAATTTTATGAGAATCGGTCAATCCGTTTCGGAGGAGTATGGGAACGTAAACTGTGACACGAGAATTTTATATATAAGATAATAATTGTATATGTTTTTATGTAATATTTATGTAAATGGATATATGTATGTATTAATGTGTATTTTATTATAATGATATATTAGAACATTATTTAATTTGTTGAATTTTAAACGTCTTTATTTTAATTTGGGACATGTCAACATTATATTGTTAGTTGTACTCGTGTTACCCACTCGCTAGCTTTGCTACACTGTTAGGTTGACTGGTAGAGATCTCTTTTAGAGATAAGTCCTTTGCCCTCTGTATATAATTAAGTCTTCTACTATATTTAAAAGTGTAATAAATATAAATATATATTAATTTAATGGTACCTATATTCCCAGTGACAAGTGTTAACGACGTCGACCGGTACCCACAACGTATCAATTCACTTTTACTTCAATCTTTACATCGAACAATTTCATTTTGTAGTTGTTTTTGTTTCAATATAACAATTCACCTAGAACGATGCATGACTAATTGAGTTGGTTGACAGTCTACAATAAAACACTTGAGCAAATGTTGCGTCTTTTTGCCGATTAAGTGTACATATAGATATATAGAGCGAACTTGTGTGACGCGCTCGTTTCATAAAATACATGTATGTACATAGACTGTAAAAATTCAATATCTAAAACTCGCGGCACGGAATGAAATTACTTGATAGAACGCGGGAACGCTACTGGCTTTTGTATATAAATTGTAGTCCAGACCTTGCCATATTTTTCGGTTTTGGATAGACCCCCCATTCTTACTTGGTATTGCTTTTTTGTAAATTTCTAACTGTAGTAAAGTTTAGTGTCAAATTCAACAAGATGCCGCTGTCGTAGACCCCTTGCAGTTCGTCATAGACCCCTGGGGGTCGGTATAGACCACTTTGAGAATCACTGGTATAGAGTAACAATTACATATCTAAAACTTCCGATGCTGACCGAAATTACTTGAATGCCATTGGCTGTAGAATGTGCCCACTAAAGTTTTTACTGCCGGTTCTATTTTACTTATGTTTTAAGATCTGTATATGCCGATTCTATTTTTTTTAAGATCTATATGAGTAATGTATACATGTATACATATAAATAAAATTGGATTGTCTGTTTGTAATATTGAAATAACCGTTTTTTACTACATGCATATGAATATTAGCTACTCGCCCCGGCTTTGCCCGGGTGTACATGTATTATACATATAAACCTTCCTCTTGAATCACCCTATCTATTAAAAAACGCTTCAAAATCAATTGCGTAGTTTTAAAGATTTAAGCATACATAGTGACGAACAGACAACGACAGCGACTTTGTTTTATACTATATAATTATATACATTTAGTAAAAAGCTGTTTATTTGAAATTACAAACCGATACATCAAGTTTATTTATTCATATGTATGTATGTATGTATGTATGTGTTGCGCAGCCAACCACCGCGTGTACAATGTTTATTTAAAAATGTTCTTTTCATTGTGTAAATCAAGCAGTTCTGTTTTAATGTAAACATGACTATAATATTAATTTGAAAAGAATACGAGCTGAGTTTCTTTGTCAGTTCTTCTCATCTCGAAATCATTCCGAACTGACGGTTTATTTGACACATCATAAGAGTCTGTAATAGACCTACACGAATAAAGATATTTTGAATTTGAATGTCAATTTATATCATACTCGTGAACGGGTGCTGCTTGTGGGGACTGGTCTGTTCGGGTTGCGAACACTGATTAGATTTTTTGTTTTTTGCAATAGCATACGCTGGTGGTCACTCTATTCTCACAAATTTGAATTTAAACGAATCTGTATTATTGTAAACATGTACAACATTTATTTAAAAAAATACGAGCTGAGTTTCTTGTCAGTTCTTCTAATCTCGAAATTATTCCGAACTGACGGTAGATTTGACATATCATAAGAGTCTGTAATAGACTTACATGAATAAAGATATTTTGAATTTGAATCGAATCTTAATAATAGTTAGTAATATTTTAAAATTATGATTTTAAACCGGTTGTACTATAACTGAAGGACATTATTTTAATATATCTAATATTATAAACCCGAAAGTTTGTGAGTATGAATGGATAGGTGGACCGATACTACTGACCGGATTTTCATGAAACTTTGCAGTAATATACCATCAGAATAACACATAGGCTATAGGTTAATTTCATGCAGGTGCAACCGCGGGCACAGCTAGTCAATATAAATGAATGTAATGAAATACTAGTACTACATATTTCATATCTTATT